TTCCAGAAAGTTCTCCCACCTGCCAGTCGCTTTTTACAGGATGGTCTTCTAAGCGGAGTATGGCAGCCTGGGGTGGTCCTCTGTCCCTCTGGGCTCCTTCTCAGACCCTTTCCTTCCTCTCAGGTGTCTCTTTGTCTGCCTGCAGGAACTGCATTAGGCTCCCAGCACTGTGCAAACAGGCCCCTCACTCAGGAGAGGGATCTGAAGACTCAGCTCCAGAGAAAATTCCATAATCAACTAGACTGAGTGATGTGTTTAGGAGGCCAAGGCTGATGCTCACTATAATTCACATTCCCTGGGCACATAGCTCTGTAATAAAGCCGGGATGTCAGACAGCCCAGCCAAGAGCTAACATACCTGTTTGAACTAGTTTTGTGCCAAAGGAAACACGTCAGAAAAGAAAAGAAAAAAAAAAAAGATTTAGTCCACCGTCTCATGCAAATGGGGGCATTCCAGGCAAAGGATAAGGATTGCCTGACTGTGTTCGTAAGGGTTTGTTAAATGTTAACACATGGTCACACTTAAGCCACCCTTCTTCGACGCTCGTGAAGGTAATGTCCCTGTAAATACATACAACAATGAGCTTTTAGAGCCATCCAAGCCCACCCAGAATTAGAACATTCCCTCAACATGCCTCCTCTGCACTGGGCTGCTGGCTGTGATACCCACTCCAGGATGTTTGCACACCCAGTGTCAAAAATATAAAAATGTTTAGCCCTGCCTGCGTGGAATTAAGAGGTATGAATTTCTAAGTGACCCTGTTTAATCAAAACCCCCCATTGAAACGCCATTTAGCTTGCACCCCATCAGCAAATCTCAAAATGCAGATTTTGCTGGTAAAACAGCCCCCACGTTGCCGATCGCTAGTCAAATATGTATTTAGACCCCTGAGAACCCTTTTCACTAAAGCCAGCAGCTCCAGCATGCACAATGGCTTAATCGTATATTGTTCTCTGAGTACTAACCCTTTACAAATCATACGACATAAAAAGAAAAATAACTAACATTGTAAAGACAGTAATGAGAAGTGTTGAGCTAAAGTGCCTCTTAAAGAAATCCTAATAAATTCCAGAATTTCTAGTCTTCTGGCAAGCTTTCCATTTAGAACAAAATCAATGATCAATGGTTGCAACGAGCCAGCATTAGGCTTGCATGCCTCCGGAGCAGGGAAAACTCATAGACGAAAGATGACATTTAAGGAAAAAAAGCTGACATTGAGTCCATCACTGTCATCGCTTCTGCCATAAAGCAGCTTCAAATATTAAAACATTTTTCATCTGTGCTGCATTATTGGCACCAGAAATTGTTTTCTCTCTGTCTGGTGCGCACTTGAACTGCAGCAGAGCTCCCTGGAGACTCCGGATTGTTACCAGGGCCTCATAACATATTGGCAGCTGACGCGGTGGCGTTCATGTACAGTTGCCACTCACGGGTGAGCCGCCCCTCCCCCGGTGCGCAGGCAGGAGGAACACCAGCCGCCCCTGCCCAAGGGATTGCAGTTAGGCTAGGAGGTTCCGATGAGTGCGTACCCTGGAGCTCCGTGCGTGGCAGACTGCCTTCCGCTGCCCTTGGCCCCCAACTTCTGCCCAAGCTGCCCCTGTTCAGAGCCAGTTCCTCATGGGCAGCCCCAATCTCGGGAGAACAGCCCCCCTCCAGGGCCCAGGGGAGTTAGAAGGCTGGGTATTTTAACACGGGGGGCAGGCTTCGCTGCGTTTCCTGTGTGGGAAGCTCAGACCCACCCACGCCGTAGACGGCAGGGCTCTGTGTTAAGACCGTGGAGGGGGGGAAGGGAGTGCCCGGCTTCTGCACCTGTCTGTACTGAATCTGGATGCTAACGGATGAGACAGACCTGCCCTTGGACAAGGCGCCAAGCCTGGTAGGAATCATGCGTGAGGAATAAGCTGGTGGCGACTGGTGTCCCACAAGGCACTTGGAGGACCGTTTTCATTTAAAAAGACTCTCCTTAGGGATGCTCCCAGATCGTGACCTCCAGCCTTTGAGTGTGCCTATACAGGAGAGGATCTGAGGTTCCTGGCATTGCTTCACCGTCTAACAAAGGGGAGACTAAGAACTTTGGGGACAGTCACACTTGAAGGACCCTTAGTGCTGGCAACCACTTCCAGGACTTGGCTGCGGTGTCATTATTATTTTTCTTTCTTACTGGGATCTGCACCCTCAACCTGGGTTTGGGGTGTGCTGTCTGGACTCCTGGGGCAAGGCTCTCAAGGTGTTTCCTCAAGCCCAGGATACTCAGGGTCTCCTAAGAGACAAAGCATCTTTAACCCGCAGTACTTTCCAGCATTAAGCAGAAAGATGCTTTCATTTCCATTAGAGCCAGAAGAGAAAACTAATTTAAGGTCAAAGATTATATGCCCTCAAACCTAGGCAAACGTGAGACAGAATTTTCGGTATTATTTTTACGGAGGAGGGAGCTCACAAAAGCCAAAAAGGGGGGGGGCATATGGCTAGCGTTCTGTGATTGAATCAGGAGTTTCCAAAGCCCGGGTACGACCACTGAGTGGCAGAGCAGGGCCCCTGAAGATGCTTCCTCTAGAAATTCAGACAGCTCTGGCTTGTGTGTTTATGCCAAGGTCCTGGGCTTGCGGGAAGGATGCCTGGGGATCTTGCACAGCTCTACAGCTCAGTGTAAGGGTGGGGGGCACAGGGGCAGGGGACACCGCCATCCCAGGCCTTAAAGTGCAGTGCCCGTGCCTCAGGGGCGCTAGAGACTCACTCTGCATCCTGGGAGGAAGAAACAAGTCTACACGGAATTTTAGACATACGCATACGAAATTTGTATCAGTCACAGCACCGAATAAGAATTTTAGAAGAAGAAGAAGAAGAAGAAGAAGAAGAAGAAGAAGAAGAAGAAGAAGAAGAAGAAGAAGAAGAAGAAGAAGAAGAAGAAGAAGAAGAAGAAGAAGAAGAAGAAGAAGAACCTACAGATCAGGGAAAAGAGGAGCCCTAGAGCTGATGTCTGGAAGTGATTGTGTTGCAGAAATGGGGTGGGTCCCGTTAGGTGAGAGCCAGGGCAATGTACTGCACCGTCCCAAGCTTTTCCCTGCACTGTCTGACTTTTGCAGATGGCCTTTTACAGGTCCCTTCACAACTCAGCCCGGTCACCACCACCATCCCCAAGAATCACCCAAGTGGGTGCCACCACCAACATGCTGGGTGACTTTGTTGCTTAAGCCCCACTGTGACAGCTCAGTTGCGGAGAGTGTCCCAAAAGCCTCACATGTGGAAATTTTGATCCTAAGTGCAGCTGGTGAATCCAATCGTGGGAGTGGGAGTGTGCTTTGGGGGGGGCGGGCATTGACCCAATACATGGATTAAAGCCTGGACAGACTCATGGTTTGAATGCATTGCGGGTGTTTGGGGACTGTTTAGAGGCAGCGGGTCACTAGGAATGCAGCTTTGAGGCACATACCCTGCCCTGGCCCTTTCTTGGTGCCGTCTCTCTGCTCCCCGGCCGCCATGCGGAAGAGTAGCTTTGTTCTCTCAATGCATTTCTGCCATGACTCTCAGCTTTACCCCTGCATTGTGAACCTTTAAAATCGCTTCATTTGGTATCAGTTTGCAGCAATGAAAGCTTCACAATAGCCACTAGGGTTCAGGTTTTTGGGTTTTTAAATCTGTTCAAGAGACCAAATGCCCAGTATAGACTAAGTGCTACAACTACTTCGAGGGGGGTTCAGAGAGCGGCAAGCCCAGGCTTGGACACTGCGCTGTTTCTTAAGTCACTCTACAGAAACTTCCACATCCCCCGTCCCCTTGCTGTTTGAACCATGTGTCAGAGGCACCCTGGACATTTCCTCTCTCGTACATGCTTCCATAGGATGCAGAACCACAGAAACTCCCAGCATCTTTCTCCATCCATCAATCAGCACAGATGTGTCTATTTTTCCCTCCGGGGGAAATGGGTGCTGGTCTTTCGGGAAGGACTGCAGGACCGTCTTGGTAACATATGTCTCACATCCTGGTACTCAGGACACTGCGGAGGGGCATCGCAAGTTCAAGGGCACCGGGGCTACCTAGGGAGTCTGAAGCCACCCTGAGATACATGGGCCTTGTTATGATAAAGCGCCAGGGGAACCTTGGCGGATTCCGTGGCTGGCGAGGGTGACCGTGGGGAAGGGACAAACTTGCCAGGCAGACGGAGCTTAAGTGAGATGCTTTATTAGAAAGGGAGGGAGGAGAAAAGAGAAAAGAGGTAAAGAGACACAGAGACAGAGGACAGAAGAGAAGAGGGAGACAGGAAAAGTCTTGTCTGCCCCAGGGAAAGAGAAAGGGAGAGAGCAAGTGGGCGGGGGTCTTTCTTTTAAGGGGGTCCTTTGCACCTGGGCTGACCAGGGCACTGCCTGAGTGCATTCTGCCAGGTGACAGGGGCAGGCCAGCATAATGCCTGAGTCCTTACAGGCCTTGCTTAAAAAGTAAAAAAAAAATCTAGATATAACTCAAACTCAGTGTCAGAACACAGCTGCCTCACGTGCACAAAGCTCTGAGTTCGACTCCCAGTGCCCAGAGTGTGTGGGAATGGACAGGAGATCCAGCCAGGTGGGAGACAGACAGACAGACAGACAGACAGACAGACAGACAGACATCTCAAGCCTGCCACCAGCCCACCCAAGCAGGTCCCGGCTTCCCTGCCTGTAATAACAGCCCCCACAACACAGGAGCAGCAGCTAGCAACATGCGGTTTTGGCACTCAGGCGGTGGAGGGTGGATTACCAGGGCATTCCGAGGCAGGGGAAGGGAAGAAGAAAGAGCTGGGAGACAGGAGACCACACAGGGAGACCATGCACAGAGCCCGCCGCCCGCCGCAGCCATCTGCCACGACTTCACATGCCGCTCCAGAAACTGACAGACACCGCCTTAGCAAAGCCCAGCCCGTCAGATGAGTCAATCAATCAAAAAAACTCTTATGAAACTTAATCATAGAGGGTCGTGTTAGGGAGTGGGGGAACAGATTAAATTACCACGGTATTAGATACGGGAAATGATTTCTGTCAAAACCATCTTTACTGCAATTATAATATGTTAATTATGTATTTCATTAAGTAAGTGGATTAGAGTCTGCACAGATGAAATCACGTGAAAGGATTTGAGTCATTTGCCGAGCGCGGCGGTGGGAGGACTCCTGTGAACGGAAGGAACCCCGGTTAATTTGGAAAACTTTTACAAGCAAAACGCGATTCCTCCCCATCCTCCGGGGCCCTCTCCACAATCCCTACGGAAGAGCTACGAGGGCCTGGACGGGACTCTTCCCACATTGCCCCGTGGGCCTCCAAGTGGGCAGGGGGATGCTAACGACCTTAGGAGATATGGACACCTGTAATACCCTACTTCTCTGTTGGCAGCATCCCAGAGTCCTTGTGCTGACCACTGTTGATTGGCAGCTGATGCTTCAGGGAACAGTCACCGTGGTGACGCCAGCGCCTTGCATCTGTATCCTTGAGCATCCAGGTATGAGCCTGCCCTTCTGTGTGCCTTCCGTTCCCATACAACCGCCGTCCATGGAGGAGGGAGCTTTCATGAGACTTCACTGTAATATACCAGCAGACAAGATGGTTCACAGACCATTGGGCAGACACGCCAGATGTGTTCTAACGTATTTGAAGCCAGCTCATTTAGTCCCCTCTCACACTGGGCCCTGATGGACTGGTTAGGCCATAGTGTTGAGAAGGATTATTTGTTACAAACTTTTAATTATTTTTTTACCCCGCACGTGTGTGTGTGTGTGTGTGTGTGGTGTGAGTGTATGTGTGTGTGTGTGTGTGGTGTGTATATGGTGTGTGTGTGTATGTGTGAGTGTGTGTATGTGTGAGTGTGTGTGTGTGTGTGTGTGTGGTGTGTATATGGTGTGTGTGTGTGTGTACACATGTAGACATCACAGGACAGTTTACAGGTGTCGATTATTTTCTTTTCCCATATGGGTCCTGAGGATTGCACTGAAGTCATCAAACTTGGCGGCAAGCCCCTTTACCCACTAAGCCAACCTAACTGGACTACTTTGCTGGCTGGCTTCCATGCTCCCGTGTTTCCACGGGTGAATCACACAAATGGCTGAAGGGACAACGTTTTCTGCAGAATTCTCCTTGAGCAATCATGTTGACATCCGTCTCTCCACACATGGGCCCTGACTTCCTATTCCACTTAACCTCAGAAGCAAGTTGCCAAGGGAACACCTTTCTCCATGTCTGCCTAAGGACACACAGGTCACTGAGAGGCAAACACTCCAGACTTTTGAAGCCTGGTTTCCCTCCCATGCCTCTGAAAACTCTTTCGGGGCCTATGGGATAGTTGAGTCAAAAAACTTAAGAGTTAGTAGTTACCTTTCAAAAGGAGGAACTATCACCAGTTCTGGCGGCGCAGGCCTGCAGTGCTAGCTACTCTCGAGGCTGAGGCAGAACTACTTGGGCTCAAGTGTTCAAAAAGTGTTCAAAAATTGTCAGGGCTATAAACTCAAGGCCAGTTTGAGAAATTTCAGAAATTCTTGTCTGATTATTAAAAAGCACAAGGAGGGCTGGAGGTTTCAACCCCTATTACTGCAAATAAGCAGATAGATAGATAGATAGATAGATAGATAGATAGATAGATAGACAGACAGATAGATAGACGAAAGACATACAGACAGACAGATAGATGATAGATAGAATTTGGAGATGGGATTTCACTCAGTGAGAGAGCAACATACTTGTCTCAAAGGTATAAGTTATTTAGGAATAGGAGTGTATCTGGGGTAGGAGTGTGTCCAGGGGTGGGAATGTAACCAGGGGTAGGAGTGTGTATGGGGTAGGAGTTTGTCTGTCCAGGGGTGGCAGCGTACCCAGACAGAGGTAGGAGTATAGAGCCAGAGTGCTTACCTAACATGAATGAAGTTCCAGGTTCAATTCCGAGCAGTGCCAGAAAAGTAAAAAATAAAAATAAAGAGGAGGTACCAAAATGCACATAAATTTCCTGGGACCCTCAGTATTCAGTCATCAGTAATAACCACTAGGAAGTTTGACAAAGAGGGGAAGGAGAGGAGGCAGGAGACGGGGCCTGGCTGGAGTGCATGGCGGTGTAAGTGACGGGAAAAGGTTGGCTGATTTGATGAAAACCCCATCAGCCTCTCTGGGGAGATATTACTTTCCTCATTATTCTACTGATTGGCCTTATTTCATCTGAAGAATGCTGCGTGGTCCTCACAGGCCTGGCAAAGCTCTTTAACAATAACCACGGGAAAAAAAACAACAAAAAACCAGCACCTCTTTAATCTAAACAAGGAAAAATTAACTGGCATCTTCTTCCTCTTCAGGAATCCTGGAAAGAGTCACCCCAAACTCCACTCTTCCGTCTCCTCAGTCCCCACAAAAGGATAGCTCCAAGACTGAACCCAGGACGGTGGAGGGAGGGGCTTATTCTCCAATATGGCAAAGACCAAGGATATTTCATAAGAACAAAAGGCTCGGGCCGGGACCCGTCCACTATCCTGTGCATGGAAGCCAAGCCCTGATGTGACTGTCTGGTTCAGAATGAACACGTTTTCTAGGGGGAAGGATTCGCCCTGATGTGGGGCGACCTGCCAGATCCCTCGCGATACCTGGGGCTTCATTTCCCCTGACCCAACAACAGGGAAGGAAGCACAAAACACTTGTGAAATTCAGGCTGAGGCTGGCATTATCAATGGCCTGGAGCTTGCAATAACTGCTAATTAAGTGCATTTTTTTCATTATTCTTTAGCAAAGAGGTAAGATTTAATGATGTAAGTTAACAATGGATGATAATTTAAAGTGGTGACAATACTTTAATTATTCACACACATACAAAAGTTAACTTCATAACTTAGTTCTTTGTCAGAGCAAGCTCGTTTAAAATATTTTGAACTGCGCATACAATTATCACTTAGACTCTTTCCTTCGTGGCTTTGTGGAGACAAAGAGTCAATTCTCCCTGTAAATTTCTCAGGAGACAGTTCTGCAGACTGAGAACTCTGACTCATGAAACGGAGAAGGAAAAGGAAGGAAAGAAAGGAGTCCCACTGTGGAACCTTTCCAAGGAGTCCCCTGAGGACTCGGATGTGCGGACCCCGTGCCTTGCCATTGGGACAGGAGACAACTCCTCTGACAGCAGTGTGTGCTCAAACGTGCACATGTGTGAACATGTGTGTGCGCTGCGGGTGTGGCCAGGGCTCCTGTCCATTGCAATCCCATCTTCTGGGCCTGATTTTGCGTTTGCTGACATGACTACCTGAAATTGGGGGTGGCCCGTGGAATGAGGAAGTACCCCCAGGGTGAGTGGGAAAGAAAGGGGCAGATCTGTACCAGACTTGGGGAACTTGATCTCGAACTCAGAGCCTTCAGGTGGCCTTTGACAACGTTATTCCAATCTGCTCAGATCTCCTTCCTGCAGATGTTCATGGGAACATCTACACGCCATAGCTCTGGGATCCTGAACACGGCCAGGGCTGTTCCCTTGGAAAGGAGTTTGGGAAAGCAGCAAGATTGTGGTTACCCGCCCTGGATTGCCAGGCATACAAAAACAATGCCTGTCTGGCCATGCCCAGTATCCAGGCCATTTCCGTTCCTCACTTGACTTGGCGTACCTGTCATTCTGTTGACAGGAGCATCAGGGGACTCACAGAAGCTGAGAGAGAAGCATCACGGATTCCATGCCTTGCTGGGTAATGTTCCTCACTGCTGCGACTGCATGCCTCAGAAACATGACTTTGGGGAAGGAAGGTTCGCTTTGGCTCATGGTTGTTTCTGGGTAGAATATCCTATATAGAAAGGGGGGCACATCAGGTAAGAAAATCCACCTCATGGCAGATGAGAACCTGAGAAAGAGATCCTAGGAAGGACCAGATCATCAGGGATACAGTCCAGTGATCTACTTCCTTCAGTAACACCCCCGACCTCCTACCGTCTCCCAACAATGACATTTCTTACGTGATTCAGTGGTAGAGCACCTGCCTACAGAGGTGCTAGGCTCAATCTCATCAGCACCGATGAAACACAGCAACAAAAACCTTTATGATGTACTATGCTGGCAGCGGCTGCCTCCAGCTTGAGGTTACCATGTCTGTTGACTGCGTCTTTCATCATTCGTTTGACTTAATCTCATGGTTTTTTTCCACATCGTGGCCCTAGAAGCAAGGATTATGTCATATAGACATAATTATTTTTACACAATATAGTATTATGATTATGTATTTTATATATAATATAGACTTATGTGTTGCAGTTTATTTTTGTAGTTACTATAACATAATTCACATAAAATATGTCTGTATATATATATATATATGTATATATATATATATATATATATATGTTACATGGCCCAGGCCATACCACATAGGCTTATGTAAATATACTCTATGCTTTGTACATTGCTGAAACTACTGAGGAGTCACATATTTGACTGCATGATCATTGAGTGACATGGGATTACAATCTCCCCCCCCTTTATCTAGTAGGCACAATATAACACAATTGAACTGTTGGACAGCTTACCACCTACCCTGTGTAGAATAAAATAATGACCTTTACTCAGCCTTAGCGTCTCTCTTCGAGAGCTCCTTTGGACACATCTGTCTGTGGCCCCTCCCGTTAAGGGTGGGGTAAACTGGTCTCACCCATATGGAGGTCTAACTCTCAATGGTTGATTGTGCACTAAAGACACCAGTTTGACCCCCAACAACCAAGAGACACAGATATGTCCAATCTCAGACATTCTGGCCTTCATCCTCGGCGGACGGTCATTCTATCATGGAAAAGCATACTACATAATAAACGCTGGAATTTTGCCTCCAAAAAAAAAAAAATCACAGCAGCTCTCAACTTAAGAAAAAAACGCAGCTTCAGTGTGTGCTTTTTGTCGAGATTTCCCAAACAACCTGCTGTCTCAGAGGGACCACCCTTCTGGAAAATGGAATCACTTGGGGACTTGCATTTGAGGGTACACCTTTCTGAACCCGGGACCTCGTTAAAATCGGGCGACCCATGGGGTAGCCTTTTACAGGGAATCTGCTATGCCATTGGGTACCAGCATGGACCAAAGGTCCAGAGGCACTCTCTCTTTCAAACCGCTGTGGCTTCAGCGTACCTCAGAGCACATCTTTTGACGCCACTGTTTACCAGACAGGCACGAGATGTATCAGTCAGACATACGTCCACGCCTCACTTTCTTATGCCGTTCACGGCTTGACATCTGTCCTGGCTTCTGTCTTGAAGTGAGCCTTCCCTGAACCACACACTTCCCTCCCATCACTCCTCTGAGCCACCAGTCATATGTGACAAATACCTCAGAGATGGAGGAAAGATTTATTTGGCTCACGGCTTCAGCGCTTACGGTCCATAGCTGGCTGGCTACCTCCTTTCTGGGCCCCTACCGAGGCAGATATTATGGCAGAAGGGTGTGGCGAAGGCGCATAATCACATCATAGCAGTTGGGAAGTGGCGAGGAGAGGAGGCAGGGAGAGACCCCAGGGGAAAAGAAAAATGATACCCTCTGAAGCCACAGTCCAGTGACCCACCTCATTCAACCAGGCGCCACATTCCAGGAGCTCACAACCTCACAGTCATCTATTCTGACTTTCAATCCATCAAAAGGCCAAAGTATTCCTCAGGTTAGAGTCCTCACGATCTTATCTTGTCCATATACACCATCGCAGGCATACCCACAAGTGTGTTTTAATAGTCACTTAGGCGACTCTCAATCCAGTCAAGTCAGAGAGTCAAGATCAAGCATGGCAGGTGGCTGGGAGAAGGCTCAAAAGTCAAGGGTGCTTGCTGCTCTTCCAGAAGGCCTGTCTCTGCTCCTCAGCACTCACCGCAGGTGGCTCCCAATTGCCTGTCACTCCAGCTCCAGGGGATCCCACGCCCTCTTCTGGCCTCCATGGGCACTGCACTCACGTGGGCACACAAATGTAGTAAAAATGAATCTTTTAAAGTATTATCCATAGCCACATCCCAGTGGCTTAGAGCTAGAAGAGGCGTCCTCCAATTCCCTTGGAACAGAGCCCATTGCAATTGTGTTAACAACACCATCACCAACATTCTTACTGGGTATTAAGCACGTACATAATACACAGTAAGAATGCACACTGAATGATGATCTAGAGCTCACATTGCTTTGCATCTATTTCACCGGCCAGCCTTACCTATTACAGGATCCATCTGTTGGAGATGCCACCACAGAATGAAAACTTCAGTTCCTGCGACAACGCAGCAGCTAGCATACAATGAAAATAACTGACAGCTTCCTGTTCCTATAGGTGGCCTGGGGTGACCTGTGGACACAGTGAACTAGTCTCTTGATCCAGAAGACCCTAAAAACAATCCAACAAGTCAAAAGGTTCAAGCCTGTAATTCATTCTGTGACTCAAGGGGCAGAGGCAGGAGGATACCTGTAAGTTTTGGTATAAGTAGTGAGTTTCAGGCTAGCCAGGGATACAGTGAGTCCCTGTTTCAAATACATACATTACATACATACATACATATATACAAGATGTTCAGAACTTCATGTTCACTGTAAGAACACCTGTGAAGATTAACAGGACCTCAGGAATACTATGTTGGTTAGCTTTTTGTCAACTTGACACAAGTTTGAGTCATCTTAGAGCATAAAGGGACATCATTTGAGGAATTACTTTCGTCATACTGGACTATAGGCAAGTCTGTGGGACGTTTTCTTAATCAATGATGTTCACGGGGAGTCCAGACCACTGTGGGCAATACCACCCTGGGCTGGTGGTCCTGGCTCTATAAGAACACAGTCTGAGAAAGCCATAGGTACAAGCCAATAAGCAGGGTTTCTTTGTGGTCTTTTTTTTTAGTTCCTGCCTTCAGTTTGCGCTGGGATTTCCCCCTCAATGGTCTACGGTGATCACAAGTGTGAGTCCAATAAGCCTTTTGCTTCCTGTCCTGGCTCATTTTATATCAACTTGACACAAGCTAGAGTTATCTGAAAGGAGGGAGCCTCAGTTGAGGAAAAAAATGCCTCCATAAAATTCTGCTGTAGGGTGTTTCTTAACTAGTGATTGATGGGGGAGGGCCCAGCCCATTGTGGGTGGAGCCATTCTTGGGCTGGGGGTACCGGGTTCCATAAGAAAACAGGCTGTCATAAGGAGCGAGCCAGGAAGCAGCACTCTTCCAAGGCCTCTGCATCAGCTCCTGCCTCCGGGTTCCTGCCCTGCTTTAGTTCCTGTCCTGGATCCCTTCAGTGATGTGGAAATGTAAGCCTAATAAACCCTTTCCTCCCCAAGCTGTTTTTGATCATGATGTTAATGACAGCATCAGAAAGCCAACCAGCACAGGTACAAATATCCAAAAACCCACGAAGTACCCAAACTATGTCACTTCAAAGAAGCCAAGTGTGTCATTCTGTAAGGTCCAGGAGAGTGTGCCCAGGCCAAACAATGGTGTTAGATACAAGGTCACCAGCCCAGAAAGAATATTGAATTTTTGCTGCATGTACTTAACAATACAGAATGGAGTGCTGAACTTAATGGTTTGGGTGTAGAAAAATTCTAGTTGCTGGACACGCCCAGGTTGACAGAGCAACCAGGATGTACTGACGGACTCGTAGGATCCATACAAGTCATTCAGGAGCTCCCCTGCCACACCTAGAAGAGACAAACTGTTCCTGCGGTGGAAGAGGAAACAGACACCGTCTAAGAAACGGAAGGAATGAAGACTTTAGGCACAGGAATTAGGGTCAGCATAAAACAAATGTAAATAAAAGCTTAAAACATTTTCAGTTATATATTCTGCCTACTATCCGCCACACCTTCCTCGAACATGAATGTGTGCTGCGAGACAGGACTTCTGTTATAACCATCAACACAGGGCTTTTATCCATTATGATTAGGGATGTAGCGCAAGCGCCCAGCATACCTAGCCCATGATAGTTTTGATGGCTAGTTGCACTGCCAATCTGATTTGATTTGAAATCACCTAAGAGACATGTCCCTGGATGTGATGAAGCAGGGAAGGCCAGCCTGAGCATAAGTGGGCCCAGCGTCTGTGCTGGAGACCCAGACTTAAAAAAATAAAAGAAACCGGAGGAAGTGAGCTCAACACATGGTTTATTTCCTCTGCTTCCTTGGATGTGGCTGAAATGTGACCAACGGCCCGTGCTCCTGCTGCGATGACTTCCCCCGCCATAGATGGGCTGCACCTTCACACCCTGGCCACACGTCCCCCACCCCAATCCCCCCAACAAAACAAAAACAAAAAAAAACTTACCTTCCCTGAGCTCTTGTTTTCCAGGAATTTGGTCACAGTGTTAAATGGTTGAAAAGCTGTGAGGGGAGAGAAGACAGAGAAGAGATGAGTGAATTTCAGATCTTAAAAGCAGCAATTCTAATGACCAAATACATTTCCCTGAAAGGGATGTGACTTTCTGCTTTATGCCCTCTGTGTAGACAAACAAGCCATTCCCGGGTGGCCGTACATGCTCTTGCAGCAGACCTGGTCAGCAGCAAGCTTAAGCCGATATCAGAAGACTCTCAGGTGTCTATTTAATGCGAAGAGGGTTTGACTCCTGGATCATTATCCACCGGCACAGGTTCAGCGATCTCAATGGGAGTGCCATCTTCTCTAGCGATCGCGCCTCTGAAACGATGCTATAAGGCCAAGACATTGATTTTCCAAGTTGCAAAATCATTCCCGGGTCATCAGTGTCAAAGCCAAGTGCCTTGTGGATTTCTTTCTTACATTTTTTTTCTCTTTTCTTTTCCCTTTAAAGATAAAGAGCAGTCTGTTTTGTCTGTCGAACCCAACAAGGTACAATGAAATGCGAGACCATCCCTATGCTTTAACACACGCTGCAGACTGATTGGTCCTTTGCCTAATTGTGGCCTGCAGCATCCATCTCCACCCCAAGGAACCAAGGACCAGCAGAGGGAGGATGGGATGGCGAGGACAGGGTTGGCAGACATGTCCTGCTGCCAGGTGTCACCAGGCCCAGAAGTCCCTTAGGTAATAATACAGAGTCAAAGGGATTTTGTTATTGATAATGGCCGTTCTCCTGCCTTGGGCAGAGGGTCAATTGCAAGGGCAATACGAGGGAGCAACCCAGCTCTAGATATTGAGCTGGAAGGATTCGGACTCTCCCAGCAACTTCTTACAAGGATTTAACTTCAAGAAACTCTGGAAAAAAAAAAGAAACTCCGGTGCAGGTGGACATGAGAAAAGTATACATTGGACTTTTAGTTGGGGGTAGTGACTTCAAGCTACCTAATGTCCCTAGCGTGGTGGGTTAAAAGTTCTTGCTAAATTCCAGCCAGACAAAACACCAGCACAGAGTGGGGGAGATGGGCCGTGACATCCCACTACCAACTAAGGAACTGTTGGCACTTGATAGCTGCTGGGACAAGGAGGAATCCGTTTTCCTTAATGATGTTACCCCTGGTATATCGACCGCATGCCACAGCAAGCCCCGCTCTCAAGAGTAGCTGGGTATGCAAACTGAGCTCCAACAGGGAAACAAAACAGAAGACATATCAGAGTTGGGTGGGAAAGGATGGGAAGGTGGAAAGGGAGTCCAAGGAAGGAGTAAGGGGGCAAGCTCAAAGCACATCGTGTAAAACTTTCAAGCCATGTATAAAATACTGCTTTGAAAAGATCCTTGCTGTGTTTAAAGAGTGGAGTAGTATGCAACAGCTAAAATAGACAGGAGTCTAAACAACAAGGTTGGAGGGCCAGATCATGTCCTCTTGATTTTGTAAATAAGGTTTTATTGTTAAGCATCTATGGACTCCTGTGTGTCAAAATCTATGACGGCTTTTATTCCGGGAGAGAGGAATTGGGGAGTTGTAATAGAAAGTAAATTGTCCAAATACAACTTCAGGACCCTGGAATATGTGCCCCTTAGATTGTCACTGGAAAAGTACACAGGTTTCTTTTAAAACAAGGTAAAGAAAATAGTATCGCAGGCAAGAGGCGGATTACTGTACGACGTGCTGTGGAGTTATGTGGAAACCGTGGGCTGGGCAGATGGCTCAGAGAGGCTGCCTGAGGACCAGTCCAACTCGTGGGTCTGACTGTGGTGGCCGGTGAGAAATAAGACTCCGGCTTGTGGCAGCCATTCATGCCTTCTATTTGCGCAGACTCAAAATAATAAATATGTCAAAACTACACCATCCCTGGGGCTGGTAAAGACTCTTGAGACACAGACTGCTGTAGTTGGACGTTTCTCATCATTCCACCCACCGGTGCCCAAGTAACCACTCTAAGGCTTAGCATTAATTATAATGGTTTGGCCAATGGCTCAGGCATACTACTGGCTAGCTCTCACAGCTATATTAGCGCATTACTAATGTTCTACATTTTGCCATGAGGCTCGTGGCTTGTTGCCTCACATCTTGCTGGTCTCACCGACTCTGCCTCCTTTGTCTCCGTGTCTTTGTTTGGGTTTCCCACATGGCTCTATTCTGCCTGGCCATTGGTCAAGCCAGCTTTACTAGTCAACAAATAAAAGCAACACTGTAGTTGCAGCACACAGAAGGACATCCCACATCAGACTGTGGCAGTTGAAGCACGGGGTGTTTAATTTGGTTGGTTGGGTTGTTTGAGACAGGGTTTCATTGCGTAGGCTTGGCTTGGCCTCAAACTCACAGGGGCCTGCCTTCTGAGCGCTGGGGATTAGAGACGGGGACTACTACAAAGCATTGGGGCTGTTTTGGAATTCCCTTTCCTCTTCATCCCTCGGTGCCTGTCCTGGCGTATCAAACCACCTATCAGCCACAGACCTCTGGACTAAAGCTAAGGACAGATCAAATATTTGTAATCACGTGAACAGGCGGGAGATTTACAAAGAAAGCCTATGATTTGGTGTGTATAGCGCCGAATCACCACTGCTGATGTCATCTCTCAGCTGGGGGCCCATCGCAGAAGAGCTATCCAAACAACAGCCCAGCCGTATGTGGCCGTTAAACACTCGAAATGTGACTAGGCCAAAATAAAACAGATTGTCAATGGAAAACAAATGCTGGGTTTCAAAGGCTTAATGCATATTTTTTTTAAAAAAGAAAAAGGAAGTGCCATAGATCCCATTAATAATTTGCCATATTGATTGCATGTTGAAATGATAATATTTGGTATATTGGTGTATTCGTTTTCTCTCCCGGCTGTAACAAATTACTGCCGACAAGGAGGCTTAAAACAACACACATTTATTATTGTACCACTTTGCAGGCCAGAGAGCCTACACAGGCCTTACTGGGTGCTGAGGTTTGGGTTCAAAGTGTCCCTCATAGGCCTGGGTGTTTGAACACTGGGTTCTTGGGTAGTGAAGGCTGCTTTAGGGAGAAGCTTTGAGAGGTGGAGTCTAGCTGGCGTAATTAGGAGGCCACAGGCCTGCCCTGCTCCCTGTCCTGATCTCTCCTTCGGAGAACAGACTAAACCCTCTAAAACTGTAAGCCTTTCTCCATGAAGCTGTTTCTATCATATTGATCCAAACTAATGAATGCCCCAGGACAAGACGAGTGTGCCTGGGTATGGAGGGGGCCTCCAGGGCAGAATCGATCCTCATGACTTGCCAAGGCTCAGGATGGTTCCAGAACCGCTTGCCTGGTCACTCAGTTTCAAAGCCAATGAGAAGGGGTTTACACGGACCTTTCCTCTTGGCATCTCAAACCAGAAAGAGAAGTCTATAGATTCCTTGTTCTCATGCCTAGAGACTTTCATGACTACAGTGGGTTAACAGATCCCCTTGGATCCTATCCCTGCCTTTAAATCAACAGCCCTGAACTGGGCATTGTAGCATACACTTTCAATCCCAGAACTCAGGAAGTGGAGGCAGATGAACCTCTGTGAATTCTAGGCCAGTCTGGACTACATAGCCAGTTCTAGGCCAGCCAGAGCTACACAGTGAGACCCAGTATCAAAAAATAAATAAACAGAAAACAATAAACAACAACAACAACAAAATCACCAACAATAGCAGCCCAGCTTAATTCCATCTGAAACATCAATTCAGTTCTCTTCCATGTTAAAAAAAAAACAGTATCCCTTGCCCTGAGTATTTATCACAGATCTCTATTTTGCATCTCACAATTGACTTAAATGTCTTCATGCTTGAAATACATTTGTTAATTCACTTTGCAGTACTAGAGATGATATTTAGGAGGCACAACCCCAGCCCCTCACTGGGATACTCTAGGCAGGGCCTCTACCTCTGAGTCACATCCCCAGCCCCTCACTGGGGGATTCTAGGCAGGGGCTCTACCACTGAGCCCCACCCCTAGCCCCTCACTGGGGGATTCCAGGCAGGGGCTCTACCATTGAGCCATGACCCCAGCCCCTTACTGGGGGATTCTAGACAGGGGCTCTACCACTGAGCCATGATCCCAGCCCTTCTTACTGGGGGATTCTAGACAGGGGCTCTACCACTGAGCCATGATCCCAGCCCTTCTCACTGGGGGATTCTGGGTAAGTACTATACCACTGATCAAAGCCATTTGTCCTTTTGTTTTAGAGGCAAGGAAGGTTCCATTATCCTATTATGTTCTGAGACTGATCAGCAAATCACTGTGTAGCTGAGGCTGGTCTTGAATGTAGAATCCCTTGCTTCAGTTTCCTGAGTAATGACATGACAAGCGTGACTACATCACGCCCAGTTCTACATTGATGTGGACCCAGAGGCTTCCCTGGAATCTCCACTAGACAGCATGACAGCATACAGACCTGCTTAGTTCACCATAAACTACTTTGAGGATAGAGGGGGTCTTAAAAGTCATGTTTGAAGAAAGCAGGGTCACTTTGAGCCCACAGACATGAACAATAGGACAGCAGTAGCTCACACCTACCAAGAGCTCATAGTGCATAGTGTATCAAGGTCTGGGACCCCCCCCCCCGTGTTAATTGCGCCCATCTTTATATAAAAACTCTAGAAAAGAGACTGTTGTGAATCACCTCTCATGAGAAAGGTCGTTGAAGAGCAGAGAGGGTTGGCAGCACAAAGCCAACAAGGAGAAGCGTCTGCTTAAGAACTGGGCTTAAACTCCCTATCAGATGTTTGCACTTTGGGATGCAAACTAGGCCGTTCCTAGATAGAGCCAGGTGGTGATCTCATACCCACTTGGCACCGGCTGTGTTGGAAAACTTCAAGTGACCCTACTTCAGCCTGGCAGGGTCATAGCTAGGCGTCTAAGTACTGATGCAGAGAGAGTTTCACAGGATGCGCCATGCTGAGCTATGCCAGCTCTACCTCCCCACTCTGTGGTTACAGGCGCAGAAAGGTTTTAGACGCCACACATGCCTGATTTCCCCAGACAGACAGCAGCAGAAGGCCAAGAGTTCAGAAAAGGCCTCAGCTGCCAAAGTTTTAAAAGGAAGGACAGTTTGGTTATACATGCATGCACACACACACACACACACATACTCTCTCTCTCTCACACACACACTCACATACACAGGCATGTGCACATACACCTACACATACACATACACACACACACACACAAAAACACACACGGACATGCACAAACATGCTCTCTCTCTCACACACACACTCACACACACAGGCATGTGCACACACACACACACACACATGGACATGCACACACATGCTCTCTCACAAACGCACACACACACACACCCATGCACACATGCTCTCTCTCTC